GGGTGGGTGNGGGGGGGGGGGGGTTAGAGGGAGTACAGTTTGTACTGTAGGTCCGTCTATTATTCAGGGAGAGGGATAGTACGGTAGTACGGTAGTAAGTAGAGCGGAGCGCCGAGCTAGAACCAGTTCCTTTTTCTGGTGCCTCCGGTCCTGCTCTCCGTACTCTGCTCTACCCTGCCCTACCCTACTACCCTGCCCTACCCTACCCTACCCTACCCTGCCCTGCCCTGCCCTACCCTACCCTCGTCACCCCCGTCACCCTCGTCACCCTCGCTGGTCTCGTCTGCACCACCCACACAACCGTACTTCCGTCTGTACAACGTTCTCCCTCCATACCGTACTTCCACTCTCCACCTACCAACCATCCCAACTATCCCAATCGTCCCAACTATCCCAACCCATCCCATCTATCCCAACCATCCCAACTATCCCAACCATCCCAACTATCCCAACTATCCCAACCCAAGGATCCACAGCTATCTCATCTATCGACGACAACCTCAACGAACTCTCCCCTTCCATTCCAGATGCCAGCCGCTCGCGACCCGCCGGGTCCACTCAAGATATACTTTGGCTTGAACTCTGCCTCGACCTATCCCACGAGATTCCACTGCGACAATACTACTACTACGTACATCTACGGTACTACGACTTCGGACGTCCAGAGCTCCGTACAGATCGACCGTACTGCTCCGTACATATAACCCATCCTTCCAGAGCTGTGATATCTGAACTGGCCGGTCCGCACACCTACCTACCTTCTCCCCGCAGCAACATCCGCAGGCGCTCTCAGAAACTCCCGTTTGCCGTCTTGTCTTCCTTCCTTCGTTCCCGAGGTCTCCCCTCCCCGCCTCACGTAACAGATCTCGGCTCCGCGCCTCGCTTCGCTTCGCCCCAGAAGCAGTGGAAAGGAAGGAGAAGGGAAAGGGAAAGGGAAAAGGAAAAGGAAAGGGAAAGGGGGAGCCGAGCTCTCACCCCCATGCGATGCCATGCCACGCGCTGCCCAAGTCGTGCTGGGGCGGGCATGCGGCCCCGGCGTTTCGTCGTTTCCTCCAGGCCAATTGGGGTCATGATCCCGGCCGACCACGGAACCAGAGAGCCCACCAGAGAGCCCACCAGAGTGCCCACCAGAGTGCCCCTGAGCGACAACGGTCGACATCTTGCGGGTGGGCGGCTCGATCATCCCAACGAAACTCCCCTCCACCGCTGGTAACGGACGGGCTGATGTGCGCCGGCTACGGAGAGCGTAGCGGGCTGCCACCCATGACCCCAGGTAAGGTACTTACTACGTACTACCGTAGTGGTACTACAGAGTGTTGCTCCGTAAAAGCAAGCAAGCATATTACTAGGTTGGTTGCTGGCACATCCCTCGTCGGACGGCTACGGATAAACCTCACCTCTTCTTATTCTCATTCTAAGAATAACCACGCGCCCCTAGCAGCGGTGCGCAGCCGGACGGGCCACGCAACCATATGCAGTCAAATCCATCACCTCGGGTGTTCGTACGTTTCTCGCCCTTTGCAGCCTCGCTCACGACCGGCTAAAAAAAGGAAGTCCGTACTTTCTTGGGCTCTGTGTGCCACACTGCTGCTCCCTTGAACCCAAACCCTAAGCATCGCTTCGGAAAGCGCTGTCTGCTGACTGTTTCAGTCCACCAATCGAAACCCTCGCATGACGATCCCCTGGTCACTTTTTATCGCCGCGCAAAGTGCCAGGGCCGAAGCCGAACGAAACTCAAAATAGAAACAGAAGCCTGGCATCGCGTCACCATTGCGGACTGTTGGTCTGAGGGGCATCCACGCGGTAGTTGTGGCTGTGGCCCTCGACGAGTAAGAGGTAGAGTAGAGGTCGAGTCAAGTGAGAATCCTTCGACTTCCTATGCTTAATAGTCAGTGCGTTGCCTGTTTACCTGCGCGCTCTCGTCACAGTACGTTCGGTGTGTGTGTGTGTGTGTGTGTGTGTTGTTTTTTTTTTTTTTTTCCTCTTCATTTCAGCTCTGAGCGACAACCAGCATGACAGTGCACACGGCCGGCTTCCACACACACGGCTTGACCCGGTACCTGCAGCAAGCGTCTAGGTAGTCGGGAACGCTTGTGCCTGCAGCCAATCCGCGCCGAGCTCAGACCGAGTGCCACACTACCGTAACTTAGGGCCTTTCAAAAATAGGGGTTAAACGCCACACCAGGAACCCGAAACCTGGAAGCCGAAGCACGAGGCAAGGTCACATGTCTCGAAGAAACACGAAAAACTAGTAGTTGTCGCAGGCAATGTTTGTCCATCATGAATGAACAGATGGACTCTGGAGTCGTCGATGCCAGCCAGGAAAGTCCTGGCAGCCCGCACGCTGACGATGCCACCTCACACCTTACCCTCCGTACACTTTAGTCCGTGAAGTGGACCCGTCGGGACTTTCCCTCACAGGTTAGGCATTCCCAGGCAAAAGTGGCGTTGTCGCTTCCAAGAACTTCCTCTTGAGATGCCTGCTTCGATCTTTCCTAACTTTCATCGGGAGTCTGTCTCTGTACTTCTAGAAGGACGCCCCGACGAAAATAGAAGGTTGTTAGCGGCAGATCCAGAGTAGCTCTTCTACCTGTCATCGGATTCTTCTCTTTCCGTCTTATTCAACCGTGCCGTCCAGCGGTGGGCTTCAGCCAGATCGACCATACTAACCCGACCATCCACCCATCTGCCTTGAACTACCAACAAAATGCAAGAAAATTAAATGGTTGTAACCCTGTCTACCGAACTGATCCTCATCCTAACCCAGCTCGCCCTAACCCTCTACTACCAAGTTCGTGCGATGGAATTCTGAATATAGTAGTATTTGGACAATCCAAGCCTCACGCCCGCGATCCGCAGCTATGCACGTCCCGATAGTGCCAATGATGAAACAATAAACCGATAACAAGAGTACTGATCGCTGTACCCAAGCCGCCAAAAATAACAGCTTCCTAAAGCTTACCTACATGTCATCTGGTCTTTTCGGCACCCGCCACCACACTCCACAAATCGGGATATATATATATAGATATACATTTATATATATATCTCTCTCTCTATACCACTATATATATCTCCGCGTTGACCACTATTCGCGAAGGGCATTCCTGGTCATCGCACCAGAGCCACAGGTCTGGCATGCCCTAGCGTTCACGCTGCAGGCTGTTGCTTCTAAGTAAAGAGGGCTCGCTAAGCTTTGCTATTTTCTAAATTCTCACAAGCTTTCAGAGCAAATGTCTTTCTGTGATGTGTTTCATTCTCATATAAATAGTTCCTCTGAGCCGTGCAGAGCGAACACCTCACCCGTTGTATCCGGACTTCTCCGAAGCGGAAATCCTACGCATGTGGTGGTGGTGTAGAGATTTTTGGTTTTTGAATCAGTGCTGTATTTGGAACTGTTGATAGTCGCCTGCTCCCCTTCATGAAGGGGGTTGAAATTCCCCGGGTGTGATGTTCGGTAGACGAGGTAATGTTTTCCTCTGGGACCTCTGGGAGGCTGCTTGGTCTTTGCTTCTTGAATGCCCACGGACGGGACCGGATTATCGGAAGCTCCAAGACGGGGTGGTGGGTGACCTGTCGATCGACTTGACAGGAGTTCTCCATCCAGAGGGACCATTTTTTTTCCGCCCAAGAACCGAGGCCATCTCGGAATATACTACTACTATCTTGGTGGCACTGCTACCGATACAGGAGTCGATGGTCCAAGAATCGGGAAGTCTACCGACTCGTCCTTGACGAACAAGCAAAAAGCCTAACCGAAACTCCAGAGTTTAGGCTATCAGTCGATGGAACGAACGTACGGAACTCAACTCAACTCGTGTGGTGCCGCCTAAATCTGGCCCCCATGCGTCGATCTTTTTTCTATACGGAGCCTACTCCGTGAGCCCGGGGCCAGAGATCGCAACTGGGGAGAGAGATCGCAACGGGGGAAAGAGATCGCAACGCTCTGAAAAGTTGGCTCAGCGGAACTTCACCCTTATAACTACATTTTGGATAGTTCTCTAGGCCTGTATCTTCGTTTTCC